TGTTGCACACCAGTACATGATGTCTAAAATCCTTCCTCTGGCATTATCACCTTACAGGCACCGCTGTTCTCTCTAGAGCATCTCAGATGTCGTGTCTTCTCCAGTTAGCAGGGACTCTAGGGGGACAGATTTAAGCACAGAGCTGCTCCTGACATCACTGTGTTCCCACCAGCCTGTTAAGGCAAAGTTAACACAAATATTTCCTTAGGAATTATTTTCTCTCTAGGAAATGGTAGAAAAATATTTGTAAGTATATTTTCCTATTGCATTATTTAACTTTAATTGTATTAGTTTATTGGTAGTTCAATTAGTTTATTATTGTATTAATTATATTAGTTTATTATTGCTGCTATAATAATTTACCACAAAGTTAGTGGTTTAAATGAAACCAGTATATTCTCCTGTAGTTCTGAAGCTCAGAAGCCTGAAATGAGTTTCACTGGGCTGAATCAAGGGGTTGTCAGGTCTGTGTTCCCTCTGGAAAGAAGAATCCATTCCCTTCCCTCGCTTTTACCAGCTTCTAAAGTACAACTACATCTTTGGCGTGTGGCCCCTTCCTGCATCTTCAAATCTCTAACTCTGACCCTGCTGCCTGTCTTTCATTTATAAGGATCCTTGTGATTACATTGGGCCTAGAAAAATAATCCAGGATAATCTCCTCATCTAAGGATCTTCAATTTAATCACATCTGCAAAATTCCTTTTGTCCTGTAAAGTAGAAGAATATCCATGGGTTCCAGGGATTAAGATGTGGCTATCTTTGGGGGCGGGGACATTATGCTGCCTACCATGGTGACACAGGGAGGTTGGCCAATTAATGTTATTTACTGGTTTGGTAAAACTTTATAGATTTAGAATATTTTAGAACCTAATGATTTTACTAAGTTATTGGCAAATACCACATTTATAGGTCTAAAAATAATTTTACTAAATTGTTGGCAAATATCACATTTATAAGTCTAAAAATAAAAATATGATCATTTCACAGTATATACAAATATCAAATCATTATGTTTTACCCTGAAACTAATATATGTCAACTATATCTCAGTTTAAAAGTGCTATGATTATGTCAATAGATAAACATATTTGAAACTATATTTAATAACATCAAATTTTTTAACTTGCAGTAAAAAAACCATAAAAAATCATCTTAACCATTTGTAAGTGTACAGTTCAGTAGTGTTAAGTATATTCACACTGTTATGCAACCTAACATCCTTTTTTTTTTTTTTTTTACTATATACACTACAGTGAAGTATATTTTGGGCATGTAAATAAAATTTATATAATATCAACATTTGCTGTCTTAATGTAAGTTAATGCTACTTATGTTGAAGTACTAGAGCTAGTACCATAAAAGCAAGGAAAGTACATGAGTCATTTTGGAATTTCTAGCTAATAAATAAGATAAGAAAAATAAATTAGAGTTATAAATAGCAGAAAGCATACAAACTTGTTATTGAGTACAGATATATAAAAATTCAAGGGAATAAAGTGAAAACCATTAGAACTAATAAGATAATTCAGTTAAGTGCCTATTTACCAAGTAAAATATTAAAATCATTTACTCTTTCAAATATAAGCAAATATAATCATTTAGACTATGTAGTGGAAAATAAAGAGCCAGGCAGCAGAAGAGACTGAGCTCACTCACATAGCCCCCTTTCCACTATATACATAAAAGAAATTCTGGTTAGACGATAACAAAGAATGTGCATATGTAGCCAAATATTCATCACATTTTTCAATGCACACCCTCTTGGACTAGGCTATTCCATTATATATTGGTCCTGCAGAAATATTCATATATGTGTGAAATGACTCAGTAAAAGGCTAATTATTTTGGCATTGTCAGAAATAGCAAAAAGTTGAAAATCATTTAAATATTCATTTTTGGAGGTCTAACCCATTAAATAAAGTATGGTACATACTCACAATGAAATATGATGTCATCCTTAAAACGAAGCCACCCTATATGAAACAACAGTCTATTCGTATATACTGGTATGAAAAGATCTCTCAAATACAGTGTTAAAAAATAATAATGAGGTACTGAACATTGTAGATGAAGTCCTACCACTTGAGCTAAAAATGCAGCTGTCAGAGTCACCAGGAACTAAATCCAAAGACCGATGCTGCTCCAACAGTGCTCCTCTTGATTGACCTCGCAACAGCATTTGACACAGTTGTGCCCTTTCTTCACTTGCCTCTCAAGACACCATGCTCTTTTTTCCCCTCTTACTCTACTAGTCACCAGAGGCACATCCAGCATTTTGGGGACCTAAAGCTTATATACAATTTATGTGTCCCTCTTTAAGAAAGAGTATATAATATTACAAATACAAAATCAAGGGGATTTTGTAATCCTACCTAGAATAAGGGGGAAAATAATAAGTTATTCAAACCATAGAGATTCAGGTCCCCTTTTTCTGAACTCTTACTAAGCAGTTTACTGGAAATATGTACATAGAAACACTTTGTGATTGCAGCGTGACTTCCCCTCCTTACCTAGAACACACTACATCTCCCAGCAACTCCTAGCACTCAAAGGGACCCATGCTAATGAGTGGTCCAGAGACCCTTCATGAGCATCCTGGGAACTCTGCCTCTCTTGGATGCTAGCCTGGCTCCTCTTCTCCCCAGTATCTTAATGTTAGAGTGTCCCAGGTCTCAGTCCTTGGCCTTCTTTTCTCTACTGACATGCACTCACTCGGTCATTTCACCAAGCTCACTGATCTCGTGGCTTTCATTACCACCTGTATGTTTATAACTCCCAAATTTATATCTTCAGTCCAAACCTCTCTCCTGTACTGCAGACTGATATCTCCAACTGCCTATTCAACATCTCCATTTAGATATTTTGCAGATGATCTCAGACTTAAAGTGATGAAAACTGAACCCCTGATCTCATTCCCAAAATTGGTCCACTCACCTTTTCCTATCTCAGTTGATGGTAACCTTCTTTCTACTTATTCAGATCAAACATCTTTCTTGATTTCTCTCTCTCTCTCTCTCTCTCTCTCTCTCTCTC